GTTTTAGTCCCCCCCCCCCCTCCTCTGTCGCAATCTCTTCTCCCGTGACCTAATCTTCCGCATATACCATGCAGCGCCGCTTACCATTTGCTAGTTACTAGTCTTCTCCCTATTTATATGTGTTCTTGCTTAAGCCCAACCAGAATTTGATTTTCTGATTTCATGTATTGTTCCCGGGGTTCTCCCTCTTGCAAGAGTTGTATCCTTCAGCGACATGGTGCTACGGCTATATCCAACCAAGTAGGTGTGTATCCCCGCTCCGTCTCCTCCTCCCGACATCACTCGCCGCGACTGTCATCCTCCCTCACTCTAGCCAGCAGGGCTGCCACACCCCATACCCCATCGCATGCCACGGGAGCCCCCATTCCCCTCCATCTCCTCTCTGAACCTCATCATCCATTTATGCACTTTCCACAGCCCTTCGCAACCTCTCCGGGTTCAGATCCACCCCTCTCGAGGTGTTGCCTCCCTTGGCTACGCCTCCCCGTCAGCCACAACACCTCCAAGACCACCCAACAACCCTTTCCAGCAAGTAACAGTATCTGCAGCCCACTCTCAACCCTCCTCCAACCAGCTATAGTACCTGTAACCCCTCCCGGCATTCCAACACAAACGCTCAGTCTGACATCTTCCTTGCCGTCGGCGCACCTCCCCAGCCTTCTGGCGGAGCCATAACCTCCACCCAACCCGAATTAGGATTGTTTCTGCTCTTTGTAGTGCTTATTTTATTATTTGTTGAGTCGCTATTTCGTATATTATCATTCACAAGTTGTTTTCGTCTAAGAGTCCATATTGTACTTTCCTTCGAAATCATCAATAAAATTGTGTTGTTTTGAGTTGTGGTTTGGGTTATCTCCGGTATCAATTTCTCATTGGACGATTACAACAATTGAAACTAGGCTAAGGTAGCGCAGATTAAGCCAAGTATCAAGCCTTTTAATCCTTTATTTCATTTTGTCCAAAGTAATGAAATTGTTATTAGAATTTTGTTATTAGGATTAATTGAACTTTTGGATAACATTTGGATGGAATTTGAGCATTTGGTACAATTATATTAAAATTCGAAATAGTTGATCAAATCTTTGGAACTGCATTTGTAAAAAATAAGAATTGATGGAGTGTATTCAGATTATTTGAAAAATTGAACATTGATATCTGATTAATGAAATTATTTGCAAGGATAATCAAGCGTCTCCTTGTTCACGTTGTGTATGTGTATCACTCCAAATTTTATAGGGAACTTTTCATCTACCAACCGCCATCATATTCCAGCATTTTTCAATATAAAATATTAAAAATTAAGGTGTAGACATGGGAGTACATACCAATGACATAAACAAACAAGAAAAAAGAAACAAAAACATATGTACATTACCGTGGTTCTAAGTTTATAAGTTTGAGAAGCCACTGTTGCTGAAATGACCTCTGATTCTTCACCAGACAATAATATAAAAAGTTCCTTTGCAAGCATATTCAGATTCAGAGATGAGGAAAGTCCACAGAGAACCTGCAAGAACGTAGAAGCTGAATCACAAAAAATTCTAACAAGCCAAATTTCAAATATTATTCAAATTATAATCAAATAAATCACACGGAGCTGACATCAAAGACTATATTGTAATGCACTTGCTGAAGTGATAAATAAAGCAAATGGTTAAATGTAAGCATAAATACGATGAAAACAATTTCATCGAGATGATATTATATTAAATAGCTAATAATATTAAGTTCAGAATGGGAAGATAATCAAATAAAATGACACTGCGACAATGTGCTAAGACCAACTTGAAGGATAATTTTTGTTACTACATGAAATGCCTTTCTGTGCATGCTTAAATTAATTAAGTAGTTCCACAAAGACAATAGATAATCATCATGATTGCTCCTCCTAGATATTTGAAGTCAAAATAAAGAATCATTATTAACCATCAAAATTGCTAAGGGCTTGTTTGAGATCAATTTTGTTATTTGATTATTTTTTTTTTCGTTTGCTTTCAAAAGTGTGTTTGTTTAGTGTGTTTTTTATGTCTTTATTTTTTGTTTCTAAAAACAAATTAACATGTTTTTGAAAACACTCAAAAAGATTTTTAGGTGTTTTGAGTTGCAAAATATGTTGTTTCGAATCAAAACATAAACAAAACCGCAAACCGTGGCCTGTCGATTGGCGGGGTTCACTGTAAATCCCTCAGGTCACTGGTTAGATCCCCAATGACACTGGATTCTCGAATATTTAGGCACATGGCGCAGGCTCCCATCATGGGGCCTAGCGCATGGGAAATCGGTATTTGGGCCTCTGTCAAATACAGATTTCATTTATATATATATATATATATATAATATAATATAAAATAAAAGTGATCCCAAATGCCCCTAAGAAATGCATTTTTTGTTGATAGTATTTTAGTTTATAACTTTTGTATAACTTCCAGAGCCATGTTAATCTTTGTTTTGTTATTTTGCCCATTTTCTATGTAGCCCTTTACCCAAGCAATGTACACAACTGGTCAAGCTATAAATCTCCAAATTCTAATTTCTACCATCTTATCCATTAATAATCATATTCTCAACTCCACTACACTCCGCCTGCTTTCTTGTGCCTCCTTTTTCACACTTAGCTCATATGAGTTTCACAAGCCTACTTAGTGACAAACTGTCAAGTCATCTAATTGCTATAGAAAGATAAAAGAATTATGAAGACAACTTTTCGTTCAATAATTGGAGACTACAAACTCAAGTGTTGTTTTTGGCATAAAAAATAATGTCTTCCTAACTAATGTCAATGCAACAGAAAAACTCTACCATGACACACTGATAAAAGAGAAAAAAGTTGGATTTAAGAATGAGAATGATAGAAAATAGCATGAGTTTTAGTCCCATAATCAATCAAAAATGTCAGAGAGAATAAAATAGAGGATGGCCAGCAAGACCTCAAAGAGAGAGAGAGAGAGAGAGAGAGATTCCAAACATAAACTAAGAATGTACATACAATTTTTGCTGTATTCTTCTTAAGCAAAAACCAAAAAGTGAGTGTGTGTGCGAGTACGTGTATTCTAAATAACAAACAATTGTTTTGAATCATAGGCCACTTACAATAATACGTGGAGCGCTAGACGGTCCACCTGAGGCCCTCTTCTCTTTCAATAAAGTAGCCCGCTTCTGATCACGCATCTAGAAAAGATAACAAGCAACTAGTGAATATAATGACTTGGACTAGCTAGCCAAAAAAAAAACCTTCAGATTTCAATGCATACATAACTAATAAAAATGACTAAGATCTGGCTTTGAGAAAAGCCAACAGGGCTTGCCAAAAATTATTTGGCAGCATATTTAACTTTTTGGCAGCATATTTAACTTCCAGCTACTCCTTTTTTGGTTAGGAGGCGAGAAACATGTGTAAAAATAGCCTCAAATACCCAAAGATTAAGTGATTAACTAGCATTATTTACCACCAAAACTTTGTGATGAATATGAAGGAAAAAAAATCAACCCAGAATTGGAAATAAATATAAGAGAATTTTCACTTACCCGAATAACAAATGATTGATAAAATTCAATATTATTGAAACAAATTTTAATGGTGATCAGAAACCTTACCAGTATTTGCATCTCTTTGGGTTGATGAAAATTTGACTTACAGTTTAAATGCTGAGTAAACTTTCCTATGTGAATTCCAAATTATAGTTGATGAAGTGCAATTAATCTAGTTTCTTCATAAAAATGCTAAAAAATAAATAAGAAAAAATCTATCCATACTAACTTTGCAGCGATCTACATTCTATTATGTTTCATATGCAATAAACAAAATTTGATAGAGATTTGTTGGATTGACAGGTAATTTACTATCTTTTATATTTTGGTTACTAAAAGATGCAGATAGAGGACTACCTCTATGGGAAGAAACTTCATCTTCCGTTATTGGGAAAGAAGCCGGAAAAAATGGACGAGGCGGAATGGAATTTATTGGATCGACAAGCTCTGGGGGTTATTCGATTGACCCTGTCGAGATCAGTTGCCCGCAACATCATCAAGAAGAGGACTATTGCAGATCTCATGGAGGCTTTATCAAGTATGTATGAAAAGCCATCGGCGAATAACAAGGTGCGCCTGATGAAAAAGTTATTCAACTTGAAGATGGCGAAAGGTGTGTCTGTTGCTCAACACCTGAATGAGTTCAATAATATCACAAATCAATTGTCTTCTGTTGAAATTGATTTTGATGATGAGATACGTGAGTTGATATTGTTGGTTTTATTGTCAAATAGCTGGGAAGCAATGAAGATGACAGTTAGAAGTTCTGCATGTAAATCAATTGAAATATGATGATATTCGTAATTTGATTTTGGCTAAGGAGGTGAGCAGGAAAGATTTTGGCGATACCTCGGGTTAGAGTTCAGCACTGATTGTTGATTCCAAAGGGAGATCACGGGGCAGGAACTCAAACAGAGGAAGATCAAAATCAATGTCTGGTCAGCAGTCAACCTGTTGGAATTGTGGCAAGGTTGGCCACATAAAAAAAAAACTGCAGGAATCTCAAGAAGAAGAATGATGACGCTAATATTGTAACTGAAGAGATATATGATGCGCTATTGCTGGCAGTTCACAGTTCTGTTGATGACTAGATTCTGGATTCAGGGGCTTCATTCCATACATCGTCCCACAAGGAGTTGATGCGAAATTATGTTGCAGGCAACTTTGAGAAGGTACATTTGGCTGATGGAAAAGCTCTGGACGTGGTGGGGATAGAAGATGTAGACATTGCACTCCCCAACAAGAACAAATGGACTTTGCGAAAAGTCAGGCACGTTCCTGAATTAAAGAAAAAAATTAAAGAAAAACCTCATTTTTGTTGGGCAGTTCAATGAGGGTGGTCATTCAGTAGTGTTCTCATATAGTACCTGGAAGGTTACTAAATGAGCATTAGTACTGGCTCGGGGTAAAAAACAGACACACTATATATGACTACAGGTTTACTCAGGCGTGGACACATGAGTCAGAGATGCATTATAGGGAAGCAGAAGAAAGTCATTTTCCTAAAAAGTAACAAAGAGCCAAAGGCATGAAAACCGGGTCTTGTACGCACAGATGGTGGAGAACCACAAAGCTATGAACAAATCTTGCAAGATGAAAGTTTGAGCAAGTGGCAACTGACAGAACTTCCACCAGAGAAGAAGGCATTGCATAACAAGTGGATGTATTGGGTGAAGACTGCGTTTGATTACAGTAAGAGGTACAAGACTGGACTTATTGAAAAAGGCTTTCAGTTGAGGCAGGATATTGCCCATACAGTGGGAGTTATAAACAGATTCATGAGTAACACGGGAAAAAAATTGTAGAAACAAAAATATATTGATGTTGATATATCAACTGAGAATTTTACTCTTGAGAAGTTGAAGTTGTGCTCGACTTCAGCAGGTCTTCTAGCATGAAGACCGAGGTTTTGAGTTGCAGAGGTGGAGGATATCACATTTGAGGAAAAAGTCAATACATCTGGTAGTCAGAGCAGCCAGTGAATAGTACAGTCAGTGTCCCGGTCTCCAAATGGGAGAATTGTTAAGGATGTGGATCCCTGTGCGCTTCTTCATTTGAAAAATCATTAGTGTTAATTATGTGATTAATTAACTTCCTAATTAAAGCTTCCCGCTTCTTCCTCATGTATCCCGCCTCCCCTGTTTCCTTTTGCAGATCCCACCATCTCTCTTTCCAGAAGAGGATCCTGCCATCTTAAATGTTGGCAGATGAAGAAAGGGATATTTGCAAATCAAGCTATTTCCTTAATAGGGCCTAAAAGATAGTTAAGTATGGTAGCTAATCTGGAATTAAAAGGTGGCTTATGGGAAAGGCAAAAATTTCACCTGCTCTCTCTCCTGAGGCTTACGTCTATAAGAAGAAGGAATTGCATGTAATTTAGTGTGCTTCCCTTTTGGTGTGAAGGTTACTAATCCTTGTTTTCTTCTTCTTTTGTGTGACTTACGTGTGGTAAGAGAGCATGAGAGGAGAGAGAAGGCGAGGGAGAGTGATATGTTACTAA